CGCGGGTTAACTTATTTATCGAGATAGCGGGATAACCATGCCGGATGCCCTCGCCTCCTGTAGGCCCAAATGTAAAAATGGTCGGTTTTCGTCAGTATTTTATTTTAGTGATGTATGCGACTGGTTTACCGGATGGACTCTGTGAGAAGGTGACAACACAATCTAACTAACGACAACTTGAGACCACAGGAGCCGGTGCAGTGTCCACTAGTGACGGGGGAGCCGGCCGGCGTCACTGCCGGCGATAGGCAGTGACGGGGAGTGCTGGCGGGCACGGTACTCCACCGGCGCCAGGTGGATGATGCCGACATCGCAGAGGGCACGGTCCGGTAGGCATGGGTGACTGAAGTTCCTGATCAGCAGCGGCTGTTTTAAAATAACATATGCCTTTGGGCTTTGGTTCGAAGTACCTAATCAGCTCAGGCTGACTCTGAAGCGCGAAACTGTGACTATAAAGGGCAGACTGAGTGACGCGTATGGACAGAACAGAAATGCTCGAATTGGATCAGTCGGATGAAGACAATCAAGCGTGAATGTCTTGATAGAACAAATGGCATTTCCTAAAACAGTCTGATAAAAACATCGCCTTGTTATTGACGGCGGATAGCGGCCAATGAATGTCTGAGTGCTAGCTCGGAGCCTCCGACTCCGCTGATTGCCCTGTCAGGGCCAGACATTGCAATCTCACTCCAATATATCAGAGCGTGAAATGATTGTGTAATGGGCTCTATCGCCTGGAGAAGACCTGTGCTGAGTGTAAATCTGCCTTCAGAGCTTAGGTGGCGAGACAGCATGGTTCACCCAGCGCTAGATCACTATCAGAAACTGGCAAATAGGATTGTTGTTGGAAGTACAATGGCTCTGGAAATGTTCGCTGCGAGAATCCCTCGGCAGACGGTGGCTGAAAAAGCACCCTGTCAAGGATCAGCATCACGCCTGCCGAGGGCGGCAGAAGACAGCATTGTGCCATCAGCTGGGAACCTTGAGCCGGCGTGACTTTGTGGTCGGAATCTGGGTGAAAACTCTTCCTTTTGTCGGCGACCAGTGACCGCACACCGAAGAAGATGGGACGCCTGTCACCTGAAGGAGGCCGATCTCCCGTCGCTCCTCTAGACCGGCAGCCGGCTACCACAATATTATGGAACCGGAGGTGACACAAGACCCAGCACTCGGCCAGGTTCCGACAAAAGACTCCGATAAGATCCCCTGGGCGTGCGTGGCGCCGGGGGCCGATCCTTTGTCGTCGTGTGGCGGCCGGCGCGGGCGCACGGTGCGTTTCGCCACCGTTCCCGGGCGTTCTCAGACCGATGCGCGCGGCTCGACAAAGCGGGCCGCCCGCCGGCTGCGCTCCGCGCCGGACGCTGAACCGTCCCAGTTGCGACAGACCGACGACCGCGCAGCCACTGCGGCTGCGCCGGGGGTAGAAGGGCCGGGAGCTGAAGCCGCCGGCCTGGCCACCGGCTGCGGTGAGAGATGGTCTCGTTTGTGGCCGCGGATACCTCGGTGGGTCTTGCTGCGGGTCGTCGGTGGGTGTTTGTGGCGGTGTGTGATGGCTCTGGGTCCATGAAATGGTACGCGCAGTTGATTCCATGCATACGAGATGATGCGGACTCAGAGGCTCCCCTGATAGCTGTTCATGGTGGGGGGGGGGGGGGGGATTTTGGTGGACTCGCTTTCCATGGCATGTGCCTCACATAAGTACGAATTAGAGGCTAGAGCCGTTGAACTTTGAAGTGCGTGGAAGTTTTACAAGCATTTTGTTTCACTGTAATCCGTTTTGATTATGCACGAATGACATGGGTCATGGGAACAATAATCGTGTTAGCATTTAGCGTCATATACAATCTCGTGAATTATTGTGCTAGTTTATTCGGTTGGTGGGTTTTATGGGAAATACAAAACGCAGAAGAGTCATCTGAGCCTTCATTGACCTGCCAAGAGTTTGCTGTTCTTTGTCGAGCTGCAACGGGGTTGCCCAAGTCAAACGTAACATTTCCGGCTGTCTAATACCTCAGAGCAACACCGATGGGTTCTGATTCATACAGACCAGTCACGCTGTCACTGAACCGTCCCACCTTTCGGCACTTAGTTTCACACGTGAGCGGCTGCTAACCATGTCGACACCGGGACATGGGTGGCGAAACGATGTCCGATTTAATTAAACCGCTTCAGCGGATGGTCCCGGGTCACTGCCCGCTTGTTATTTGTCATACTTTATGACTTTAGTAAGTAATTTGCCAATAACATGGCTGTCGTCTCGGCTGGTGACTGCCATTGTGGGCCGACCCGTGTCTGAGAGAGGTCACAGGATCAGTGGCGACTTGCTGTCAGCGTAGAACGCGTTAGTTCTCACGGCCCTGGAGGGACCTCCGGCGTCCCACGCGCCTCAGTCGCCTCAAGTGGCTTCGCTTCACCGGCCGTCTTTACCTGCCGGCGCCCCGGGAGGTTCGGTGGCTGCTGGTGGCTTAGATTCCGTCACCGGGAGGCCATCCGCCGTGACCGTGAGGGAGTCTGCTCGTGACCGTCTCGGGGTGATGGGGGTTCGCTGGTCACCGCGGGCTCGTGAGGCAGGGCCGTGTGCAGGGCGTTTCACCACTGAGTTGGGGTCGAGGTCAGGGCGACCGGGTCACGAGAGCACCGGACCGGACACGGGACCAGATCTGGGCCGCGGACGTCTGGGCCGCTGAAGATTCATCGGCGAGATGAACAACATGGGACTGAAGAGACCGCCAACATCTCGGATAGAGCCGCTATTGACGAACGTGGTCTAAAATTCTAAAGGTGGGCGTCCTTCACAACGGTGACCCACTGCGTGTGGTAATAGTTTCAGATCTGTGCGATACAATTGATCGAATGCGTCTATATGTGTGTGGCCTTCGCAGCGACTATGGTCCAACAAGCTTTACACGTGGGCGAGGATAACCTTCGGCACATTCAAACATGCTTTACAACGTCGTATGTGATTTTCTGGCATGCCATACTGAAGTGGAATGTCATCAGTCATCATTCGAGGCCGATATTACATTGCAGTTGGCCCGACCATCGATCATATCGCTTGATAACTATGAGGGCTGCGGTATTAATAATGAATGCCTCAATCAATAATGATCTCGCCGAATGCTGAGACGGAATTCGAGCCGTGAATGTGGACGTGAGTCTCGGTTCCTGTTGACCTACGTATAGTTGTCGCAAAAAGAGAACACGCCGATGTCGTTATCAAACAAAAGCCTTGCGTTCTATTCAGTCCGCACTGATAGCCACAGGCCGACATAGCTGGAATAACGCCGTGGTGATTATACGTTAGCAACATCAGCCCACCTGCCTCGTACGCAAGTATCACATATCAAACAAACCAGCACCATTCCCTGATTTCCCAGCACCGCTTCCGAGAGGCCGTCACAACAGCATCATCTCATACCTTCAATAATTAATCGGTGTTCTTCTCCGCGCCACGTGATTCAAGCACCGCGCGGCTCGCGTCTAGCGGCACACGGAGCACTTTCTCCCTCCGTGGAGCCGCAGGTGCCGCGGTTGGATTCCGACCGGCTGGCCGACCGGCAGCCTCCGCCACACCCCCAGTCTGCACCGGTGCTGGGCCCGGCGGGAACCCGGTGCTCCAGTAGCGGGCCTGCGGTGTATCCGCCCATTGTTGGTGCCACGCTCCGGCGCCGCCACGCTTTACGACGGAAATCGAAAGTGATCGTTGCGGGATAATGTTACCACTAATTGCGGGACCCCTGAGCGTAAAACTAAATGGATTTTGATGTCCATGTGCTTGTGCATCCTTATCATGTTTGTCTTATTATTGCTATAATTCCGGTAGGATATCTCAGTTGTTTTCAAATAGCGATGACCCCGTTTGCAGTCACGGGCTAGGTATTAGCACTGTGCAATAAGCAAACCCCTCCCATCACTCGCTGTAACCAGAACTTTGTTTTGAAGCAGGATATGTGAACATTTGACTTAAAATTAGCATGTATCATCGAATTATCCCGATTACCTGTATGGCACCACAGGCACCTACCCAATGAGTTAGGACTACCGACTAGTAGCCATAGGGCTGCGCAACAAGCTTTAGCTCTGCCACCGTGCCGGTGCCCAGCCTACCGCGGACTCGAGCTCTGTCGGTCTCTCCATTTAAACATTTTAGCGGTAAACCTGTGTAAAAAGGTTGGAAAAGCAATAGTGAATTGATTGCGTTTTTAAGCAAGTGTCATCAGATGCCAGGTGGGAGCAGGGTCAGTCGTAGGTAAAAAGCAGCAATCCTAATTCCTAGCAGCCTAAGCGATTTCGCTTTCGTGTAATACCTAACTGATAACTGATACCTAACTGTTAAATTCAACCATCAGCCGGTCCCGTAGCTCAGTCGGTAGAGCGTTGGACTCTGCATGGTGAGAGCACTCGTTCCTGGTTATAACAGTCCGGGTTCGAAGCGCAACGGGCGCTTGACGTTTATGGGTCTCATGACAGATATAGTTGCGGTTGGTGGCAGGCCTTAGCCAGGCGAAGTCAGTGAGGGGACCGGCCGTGCGCGGCTGTGTGCGTACGTTAAACTTTGGACTCCAAATCCTGCCATAGAACCGGCATTGCGCGATTGGAGGGTAGATGGCAGGGTCACCGGCAACCGCAACAAGTTTCGCTTAGCGGGGGCTCTGTCTATGAGAGTCCTTCCATTCAAAAGGTTCGGACTAAATTAAAAAGTTTTGTCCATAAAAATATGGAAGTGTTCTATGGACATATTTTAAAATGATTATCATTTCTGGTTCATACCCGTCTATTTTTCAATTAATCATACATATTCGAGTCCATACAACGTGTAAAACGATCAGTTTATAATTACTGGCTGTGTATTTTATTTGTATCACTATTTTGAAACAAGCGCGCCAGAGATGGATCAAAAGTAGATAAACATTTGCTTTGAGGCGTGTCGGCGCTTTAGTATTTCATTTAGTATTTGATTGGCCTTGATTTGATTTCCTTAAATGTGAGGTAAGTGAATGGTTTTATGTGTTGATTTACTATGAGTTTAATTGGAAAATGATGAGGAATAATTCTGTGACACTTATAAGAGCTTCGCTTTTCCAAGTTGGTGATAAAATACAGTAGTCGGGCGACACGCCGGTCGCCGCGTGACTCGCCGGGTCAACTTGAACTGTCAGGACGCGGTCGTGGCTGGTGCCTTGTGTGTTATATTTGCTTGTGTGTATGTATGTTGATGTATGTATGTATGTATGTATTACCATCACGGACAATCCACACCGGGCGTGGCGATTACAGTCCACATCAAGCCTTGCATCAACAGCCTTACAGCCTTACATCAACATTGCAGGTTGATCATGAGCATGGTTAGTACGTCTCCTTTCTGTACCTTTGCCAGCCAAGATCCTGATTTTTAGGGTACAAGATTGGATTTACAATTCATATTTTCCACCTTCTTTCAGCACTCTTTGCCCTGCTGGCCTGGATCTGAGACATTGCTGAAATAAGTCCAGCTTTATGATTTAATATCGTAAGATATTTCTCACCCATTCCGTTTAATCTTTGTTGAAATAATATTGCAATTGGGCAGGTATCTACCTATGTCAATACATAGCTTGAACTACTATGTAGACTGCTTAGTGAATATGACTCATACTCTGTGTCAGAGTGAAAAGCTCTATAACCCCCTTTTTTCAATCATCAATATGTACATTGTATGACGTATGTCATTATTGATTTAGGTAGTCATTTGTTACTGAACATGGCGCATACTAGTTGTGACTGATAACAATCAAGATTCAGCTAGGTACTCAACAATTGGATATATTTTTCACCTGTATATTTGATGTGATCTGTGCTTGAATTCACATCATCCTCTTTTTGGGGGGAGGGGGATTTGCTATAAATCAGATTCTTTTTAAACATGAAGTTTAGATACAGAAAAAACATTCCAGATAAATGTGACAATGTATACAAAGCTGACCCATATTATGAGCTGGGGTTATTCAAGTCTTTTGGCTACTGTTGTACCAAAATGAATAGCATCCTGCCCGATGTTCATATTTACCGCTAACTTGTATTATATCTGTACCTGTATAAAATTATGCATTGTTTTGTACTGATACTGTTCAAGATTCACTCACAGATTATCACTGGCAAATAGCATCAGTGATCAAACAGTGTCCACAGTCAACATATTCATGATCCAGTCTTTACTTTATTTTTAGATCCAGGAGCTCTGCACTTTCCACAGCATTTGTATTATTTTACTGGCAGTGACCAACATTTTGGATAACTGCCAATAGCCATCACCATCCGCTGCCTCAGTATGCCAGAAAAGCTGATCCATCAATATCTCCTCCTTACCATTGTTCGAGTGATGCTGTCACTTTCTGTTCCAACTTCCAACTCTCACAGCTGACAATCATGGGCCAAACAATTCACATGTTACTGTCAAGTGTCAGCAATCCTGCATGATGCATCCTGAACCTTAATTTCTGCTCCATGTTAAATGTCATATTGACCTCACAGTGCAAAATCCACCTTAGACTCCACTCTCCACAGACCAGTGGATTAAAAATACTCATGCATCCTCACTCTAACACTTGGTCCCTGACCTGTCAGTCACTAACACCCCGTTTTCTGCCTTTCAGATGGGGGCAGCACGTGCAGCGGGCATTCTGGCGGCGGTGGTAGCAGCGCTGGTGCTGCCACCTGCCGTGCTCGGCCTCGACAACGGCCTGGCACTGACGCCGCCCATGGGATGGCTGGCCTGGGAGCGCTTCCGATGCAACACAGACTGCATCAACGACCCCAAAAACTGCATCAGGTAAGTCGGACCCGACAGCCGCGCCGGGACACACTCGGACGCTGCTGGCTCGTGGTTGGTCGTGAAATAGGCTACGTGCTTGGCTACCTACGTGCCACCTGCAGCCTTTCGGCCGTACATTAGCGTTTACACTTTCATTCATCTGCATTGCCATGCATTGCTAAGTATATTTTCCTATCCGCATGCTAGTTACACAGCAGAACCCTGGAAAATGGATTCGGACTCAAGCATACCCCCGCTTTGTGCCAGTGCTCATGATCCAGGCGTTCTCGTGTCGCTAGTTCCGGTTCAGAGTCCCGCTGGCTCTCACGGTCGTGATCATGGGTACGTGACTACCGGATGGCTGGCGGAGCTGGCCGACGCGGGCGAGGCAAATTCGCAACGAGCTGCAATGTTTCGGTGCTGTGTTCTGACCAGCGCCATTAGGACGTGGAAACGGAAGAAAACGACCACCGGCGTAGTTTTATGATCTGTCCAATCACGCGAGGTGGTAATCGGGCAAGATCATTTTTGAAAACAATGAAGATAGATATGAACACAGCAATGAACACATTTCTATTTTTCAGTTTTGTGCTTAATTTATTGTATTCATTTAGCGAAATAAAACATTAAAAAGCGCATTTGATGGCGCATCGGCTCAATAGCAACTGAAATTGAAGCCTCCGCCATACCCTGCCTCCGCAATGCCACCCCGTCGTATCCCAAAATTTTAACTCCTAGAAACAAAGGCGCGTGCTTTTATGACACATCAGCTGCAGGGAATCAGGGGCAGATAATTACGATTCATCAAATATCATTCACCTAGTCGTTCTGTCATGCCTACTTCATCGGAAAATTAGGATGAAGTCGTTGAACTAGATTCGTCTCCCTTTATCGTCCGTATCAATCTAGAGATGTAATCAGTCGCCGTAGCGTCGCCGCCTCGCCCTATCTCTGTGCGATCGTCAACCCCCTGCAGGGGCCACTCCAGATGTTACCCCACCTCTACAAGCCCACCGAATGTGCACTACATGGCCGGATCAGATTAGCCCGGTATAACGGCGGTGATTGAGCCGCCTTACGCCACTCCCGTCCGGCCCGTAACCCGATACCCAACAGCGGAGTGCCGGAGCGTGCGCGGTCGCCGCCGGGGTCAGCTGGGTCACCGGCAGGGTCACGGGCGGGGTCGGACCGCCGCCGGCGCCGGCCTTGACTCCGGCGACCGCGTGACGGACGCCCGTTGGAGGCGCTCCGCCGGAGTCGGTCGGTCGGTGATGTGTGGTCTGTTGTTGGGAGGTTCAATTGGTAATTACCGCCGTCACACTCCGTGGGGATGTCACCTGTCACCACACCGTCACCAATTGTCACCGGCGTGTCACCACTCGCGTTAGGTCACCGCCCGCCTCCCTGCCTCGGTTGCCTCAGTCGCAGCCGCCGCCGTGAGCCGCTTGCCTCCCGTCGCGTCGCCGCATGCCGCGTTTCAATATATCGCCGGCGCCGGCAGGGTTGTCGGCTCTCTTTGGGCGCACGCGCCGGCTCTTGATGGATTGCCCTCTGTTGGGGTGGGTCGGCCCGGTTAGCTCGGTTACAGCCGCCTCATTGTTGATTCAGTCTGCGGCGGTCCGCTGCGGCCCCGCGCTGGTAGACGGCGAGGCTCCATGGGCCGCGCCGTGGCGTTTGCGGCGGTGTGCGTAACTCGATGAGCCTTTGTTACGAGACTTGTCGAAATAGAGGGATGGGAATTATCATACAGATTGAATACGGATGTATGAGCCGCTTTAATCACGCGTTGACAGGTCCATTGTGTCTGTGAGAGGCCGTTGGACGGGGTGAATTTTCATCGTTATTCAGTCGTGAACTGTGAACAAGGCGCTGTCAAAACCCCGACACGGCTCGCTGACTGGCGACCGGTGAGGGCAAACAGCTATGGGTAATTTCTTCGCAGAGTAACGGTGATTTCAAGGTGTCAATTTTACCGTCTTCGCCACCCGCTTATCTTCAGCCGAACACGACTTGAAGCAAATGGTCTAATTATCCCCGGCAAATTACACATAATTTAGGTAAACGGCGTCGGTAACTGCTAATTAGAAACAATCTGCTGCTGCCTCGGCAGTCTATTTTCGTTACCAAATTGATAACCCCGCTCTGAAACTGAACCGAACATTTGGAGCTATTGCTCAACGGATGCATTCTCATTTGGACGAATAATTGGTGAAAGGCATGATTGCTGGCTTAGGTGTTCGGCTTTGCTGCTCTGACCTCTGATTCCCGATGATTGTGCATTATGGTAATGGGTGATCTAGCTGACCAAAATGGGCTGATTGTTGATATGAATGATGTGCCTTTCTTCACGGGCTTTGATATTGTTTCCATGGTAATTTACATTTTGACACACTCAACGTTATTTTGTATGAGTGGGGGGGGGGGGGGAAATAAAGTTGTCCCCGTTTGCGTTTTGTGTGATATCTCCGAAACCTCATAGGCTACGAAATTGAAACTTGGTATAGCTTTAAATGAATATCTAGGCCATAGGTGTTTGAGGAAAGTTTGGTGGTTGTAGCGCTTAAGATGACGTCACAGTGGCGTCATAAAGTTTTGTCGTTTTCTAATATGGATAGCTTCTGATGTCACTGAGCGTGAAGCTCGACGCCCGACGGTAACTGAACTAAACAGCACCTGCTGTCATCCTGACACATTCAATTATGTACACTTTAAACTAGTTCCTGACCAGTGATCGGTCCTTTATATTCGGTCTCATATCGACACCTTTTTTTCTAAACCCCACATTTGTTCTCCCGTGAAGTTCAGACAAGTTGTTTAGAAACCTTCAAAAAAGGTACAGTCACTCGATTTTTCTCAAGTTTGTCTGTCTTGGCAGGTCAAGCAATGCCAGAGCAAGCTTACGAACACACAAATTTGATCAGGACCGGACGATTGGACACTTCTAAATAGAGATCTTTCGTGCTTCCCGGAAATTCACCGGAGAACAGATGTGGGTTTAAAAAAAAGGTGTCGATATATTGGACACATACTGAGGAAACGAAGAGACGCAAATATATAATTGGACTGCTGACGTCATTGTGACGTCATTTTAAATGGAATCGCCACTAAATTTGGACACAACTTTTGCTAGCTATTCAGGAAGATGTGTGCAAAGTTTCGCTTCTATATTTCTTCGCATCACGACGATATCGTCGGAGGAGTAAGGGGGCAATTAGTTGCCCCCTCACTCCCCCCCAGCGGCCGGGGGTGGCGAGGAGGCCCAGCGGCCACCGGGTTAACCCGCGCCTCACTGGGATCTGCGTATAACACGCTACTACTCTGAAACTACTGGGCCGATCGTCAAAATTCAAACGGCGTCTGAAAGCCCCGGAAAAACTGTCGAGCGAAATCTAATCTCATTGACCTCGAGGTCACCGATGACGTCACAGGTCAGGTCGAAGTAAAAATTATTAGCATTTTGGCTTGTTCACGTTTTGGGCTCTGGCCGCCGTCTTACAAGTCAGATCAGGCTCATTTTTGGTTCACACACTCGTGAACAGATGCTCTAGATGCCCTGAGGGTACCAAACTTGTACTTTGATTTTCAGGTCAAGGTCAGGTCATCACAGGTCACGAAAATATTATATCATGCGTCGGTCACGTAACACATGTTTTATGGTCCATTTAGGCCAAAGATTTCGAATTTGATGTCATCTGTGTCATTTGAGGTCATTTTGAGTCGAATTTAGCTGAGGTCAGGTCACTTTCAGGTCAAAAAAGGTCAAATTTTGAAGTTATAATTTTTCAACAGAAAAGGTATCTATTGGATGCAGTTTGAGCTCAGGAACACGATGGTGCTATTTATATTGGCGTACGATGTCAAATACGTGGTGAAAAATTGATTTGAAAAATGAATAATTGTGAATTTTTTGCAATAATGCGTATAACTTGGCCATTTTTGAAGATATTTAGCTAAAACTTGCTAGAGTTAGTCATAATAACGCGTTCTATCACACATATTCCGTTTTTTTTTTTCGAAAAGTCAAAAACTTTTTGAAAAAATGTAAGAATGTAAATTTTGAATTTTATTATAAATATTTTTTTTCTTCGAAATTTTCAAAATTTCGAAAATCCGAGGTAGCAGTTTGATAGCGCAGTCTATTCTGAGTCCTCTCATGCAAAGAAATTGGATCTAGCTTAAAAACTGAGCCCTTGGGAGCGATTGCCGTGGTTCAATGTTTTGCGTCGAAATCGGCCGAACATGACGTCACTCTGACGTCATTTCCGGCCGACCTATGGTAGCTACGAAATTCAAATTTTGACACAAGGTGTCAAATTGATGTAGCCGAAGGTACTGAAAGTTTAGCGTCGATACGTCAAGGGGTTTGGAAGTTACTGCAGAAAAACGGGAGGGGGGCTATAAATAGCCCCCCCCCCAGTGGGGCGCGGGTTAAATCTCAAACAGAATATTGGTGCGAAATTACACATGCTGAAAAAGACGTGCCACCAAGTATCAAGCATCTAATGCCATTGTTGATACTTGTGAAGACTGCAATTAGATATTGTCAGTCTTCATTGACATTCAAATGAACACGTCAAACGACGTTTACATTTTGCTCGGTTTCAATGTCATAAAATGGTCCAGCAAACAGACGGCAAGGCGACGGAAATGAAAGGATGCAGAAGTGCAGAGCGATGCACGTAACGTGTGCTAACCGGGCATTAACCCTCGCCCATGTAGGGGGGGGGGTTGGTGCAACCCCCCCCTGAGGTTTTTCGGAAATAGTGCAAAAACGGCGGCGCGCAGCGCCGCCAAATTTTGGGTATCTTATGGGGCAAACCTTGCGCATCTTTTGATAAAAAAAAATTTGACCGGGTCATGTCAGGTCACGGAGTTATGACGTCACAAAGGGAACAGCCTCCGGCCGGATTTTCACAAACTGAGTGCCAACGCCCGAGGTTTCCTGCCGGTGGTACGGACATCGGTTGATGGATCGTGATGAAACTTCCCATGCATGTTGGGGCAAGTATTGGCTATCATATGGTATAAGAAACTTGACCGGGTCAGGTCAGGTCACGGAGCTATGACGTCACAAGAGGAACAGCGTCCGGTACTATTTTTGAAAAGCGCCCGAACCACTATTTTGCTAATTCTTGTCACCTCAATGGGAATATGCAGCAATATTAGCTTCTATAGGGAGCAAATGGACCTTCCAAATCCAAAAATACAATCAGATTTCAAAAATTAAAATTTTGATTTTTCGAATTTCTGCCGCCGACTGTGACCTTGCCGACTTCCGGCGCTCCCAACGCGCCATTTTTAGAGCTAGGGAAACGAAATACATACCAAACGATAGAGAATTGATCAAGAAACACGATAGTGAAGGTTTCAAGTCGATATCTCCCATCGTTTTGCCGCAATCGCCGCGGAAAGTCGAAAAAAGTCTATTTTTTCGAAAATTTGACCTTTGACCGGTCAAAAGTAGGTCAAATGTTGACCTAGGACCAAAAAATATACCACCAATCGCGAGATCTCGGCGAGAGCAATCCGTTGGTCTTTTCCGCTAAGCTCTACGACGCTCCGTTTTCAAACGCCAAGGGGGGGGTCGCACCAACCCCCCCCCCCCCCCCCTGCATGGGCGAAGGTGGCAGATCGCCGTTTACGGGCGAGGGTTAAAGGAGCCAGCTTCTATTGGACGTCGCATAAAACTCCTTTCTGTGCACCAGGAAGCATGTCTATTTTAACAAGTTGTGTTTGTCCAAAATTAGCAAACACATTTCAGCAACGTTACGACCGTATTGAGACAGAGTTGCATTTCGGGCACTTTGGCCCCATATGACCTGAATCGCTTCCATCCATAGTTCTGTCCGTATCATTTTGAAGACATTTGTTCTCATCGCTTTGGTTGGATAGATTTTCGAAGTCAGAGCCCGTGCGGTCCACAACGTAGTGTGAGGCCCACACCACCCTCGTCGTAATCTAGAAATTTCAGGGAATTTTGAGACATCGGAAGTCAAATTGTTCCTCTCTTTTGCCAAATATTTCGTCTTGTACTTTCCACGCGTAAGAAGCAGTAATCTTCAATCGTAATCGTAATCGTAATCGTAATATATTTGGAGGCACATCCACTAGGTATAAGGTGGTTTTTACGCACCCGAGTCAATTACAATGCATAAGACACATGAGATAAAAATAAAATGAATGAGATGTAAAATCACTCTCCAAGACAGACAGTCAACCAACACTCATACATATATAAAACACCGCATACCTTCACCTTTCAATCATCTGGCCAAGCCTCAATGAGCAGTAACTTCTTGAGGTTACGCTTGAAGGCGTTTCCGCTAAGACACCGTAAATCAGGAGGCAGCTGGTTGAATGCGCTGCTACAGAGTGCTAACATCCGTGCACCAGAGCATGTCCTGACTCTGTGGTTTTGAAGAAGGCCAGTCTGGCGGGTCTGGTACTGAGTATTGACATGCGAAAACATTGCTGCTATGTCGGACGGCAGGCCAGTCTCTAGGGCAGTTTTGACCAAACACAGTCTGTGATATCTCACAAGCTGTGAGATAACTGATGATATCTTCAAACACATCAGTTAAGGACCTCTACATACCACGAGTAAACAGAGGTATGTACTTCGCGAATATTCAACTGTACCGTTAGCTCCCTCTAACCAGGCGCGGATACAAGGGGGGGGCCATGGGGGCCATGGCCCCCCCCCTTGGCCGATTTTTTTCAAAAATAAAATAAAAAGTTAAAAAGTTAAAAAGCTGAAAAGGGGGCCTCCTGAAAATAAAGTGGCCGAAATCCGATGAGTTTTTTTTTTTAACCTACCCACTTAGTTATTTCTTAGAAGACTAGCTGAGAAGACTTCTTTGTTAGAAGATTGGTAAAGCTTTTCATAACTTGGAGGTCTCTTATACTCACAGAGATGACCACTTTTACAGGGCCTCCTAACCTGCACAGAGGGCCTCCAAGCCTGCACAGATGTTGAGATGTTGCCTGAACAGCTAGATAAGCTCAATAGACGCAGTCTTTTTTTTGGGGGGGGGGGGCCCAACAAGTGGGAAGATGGGGCCTCCAACAGGTGGGATTATGGGGGGGGGGCCTCCTGGTTTCTAATGGCCCCTCCCTTGGAGATTTTCTGGATCCGCCCCTGCCTCTAACTGTCACTCTCTCACCCACCGCCACCTCTCACCTCACCCGCAGTGAGAACCTGTTCTTTGAGATGGCTGACCGTCTGGTGGCTGACGGCTACCTGGCTGCCGGCTACGAGTACATCAACATCGACGACTGCTGGTCGTCCCGCACCCGTGGCGACGACGGACGGCTGCGTGCCGACCCCGAGCGCTTCCCCAGCGGCATCAAGGCGATCGCCGACTATGTGAGTGTGATGAACAGAGGGCAGGAGGCGCAGGGAGAGCATGATGGTGGGCTGGTTACCGGTCAAACCTTCTATCGTTTTATCAAATGTAAGGAATGCAGAGTCCAAGCTGAAGATATTGGCCGGACTCTCGTAGGATGAATGTGTCATCCTGGCGATTTGTCATAGCATGTGTCATTGCAATTTGTGAAACCGATTTTACGTGTTTATCATTATCAGAATTTTATCCTGGAGAAATCACAGTTGACGTGGTCGGTTCGGTGCCAAAGAAAGACAAAATCAGTTTCTTGTAGCCCGAGCTGACGTCTCTAACCCAGATAACCGATTCCACACAAATTGGACCCGAGTGATGGCACATTCCCTTCTGCTCCCTCTGCCAGGTTCACTCCAAGGGTCTGAAGCTGGGCATTTACGGCGACTACGGCAACTACACGTGCGCCGGCTACCCGGGCAGCTTGGGACACCTGCAGACGGACGCGCAGACGTTCGCCGAGTGGAACGTCGACTTCGTCAAGTTCGACGGCTGCTACGCCCACCCCAAGGACATGGATAAGGGTGAGTGCGCGGGCTGCGTGGGCGGGAGTCTGTTCGAGGCTCGAACAGGCATGCTGCTTAGTGTTGAAAGTAGCTGTTTTAGGTTTTGTACAAAACGATCATTGTATCGTAATCTAAAGAATTGTAAACAATCATACGTATTCACTTTTTTCAGTAAGACATACCAGCTGCTATGTCGCCGGTACATAATTATATCGTCTGACCATTCTCTGACGACTCGTTTGACCGTGGTGGTATCGTATTTTCTCTGACAGGGTACCCGGAGTTTGGGTTCCACCTGAACCAGACCGGTCGCCAGATGGTCTACTCGTGCTCCTGGCCCGTCTACCAGATCTTCAGCGGAATGACGGTATGAAACAGGGGCGCGGGAACTACTTTCCGACTGGGGGGGGGGGGCACACCATAATAGAGATTAACCTAGGATACCCCCAAATCTAGTTTTCTCACCGGTTTTAGGCCACTTATTTTTCACCCCTCGGCTTTTTCAACAAAAAAAGAAAACATTTGCAAAAAAAGTGTGGTATTCCGTCTCAAAGCTGTGGGGGCACCGCCCCCACGGCCCCAGAGTTGGGGGGCAAGCTGCCCCCACTGCCCCCCCCCCCCCCGGCTCCCGCGCCTATGGTATGAAAAATCGCGGTGAAACTGGCATGTGGTCAGGAGTCATGTCACGTCATGCCAGGACCGTAGTCAGTTTCCGTCAAAGTTCAGTACTGTGAGAATGCTATCGCACTGAGGAGGTTTAGCATGATTTTGGATTTTTAACCATGAGCTGGTTTTGATGTTTATGTAAATATCATATACTTACGACTTGGTTGTTACAATGGGTGCTTGTTATATGTCATCACGTTGCCGAGCATGACAAGCCTGACTTGACCTCTAGGCTCTAAGAACGTCACACTGTTCAGTTTCGAGGTGGTCCAACGCCGTCCGTTCCCCTAACTGCCGATCTAACCACTGACATCCCCCACCCTCTTCACAGCCCGACTACGCGTCGATCGCCAAGCACTGCAACCTGTGGCGGAACTACGACGACATCCAGGACTCGTGGGCGTCGGTGACGACCATCATCGACTACTATGGGGACAATCAGGACGTCCTGATCCCGCTGGCCGGGCCCGGACACTGGAACGATCCCGACATGCTCATCATCGGTAGGTGGCTGCGGGAGAGGGAGGGAAGGATGGATATGGAGATGGAGGGAAGGAGGGTAGTGGACAGAAGGACATCGACTGGGGTTCTTGCCAGAACTTAGAGTTGCTTAGTGACTAGTGACGTCAGCTGCAGATTTTGTGGCTGTTGGTGCTTTGTAGAGGTTCTATTGCATCAGTCATTTCGGCTAGACTGTCGTTCATGCCATTCAAAAATAAATAAGGCTTAGTGCTGAAAAATCTTTTTTTTTTCATCACTCCATATGGATACTTGTATGTTGTCTTTCAGTTCATGTATATTGTAACCATGACATTACTCTCTCTCACTTTTCGACCCGCTGACCGCCCCCGCGCGCCCCCTGGCAGGTAACTTCGGTCTCAGCTACGAGCAGAGTAAGGCGCAGATGGCGCTCTGGGTGGTGATGGCGTCGCCGCTGCTCAGCTCAGTCGACCTGCGCACCATCGGACCCGAGTACCGGGCCATTCTGCAGAACCGCGCCGCCATTGCCATCAGCCAGGACCCGCTCGGCATCCAGGGCAAGCGCATCTTCAAGGTGGGTCACTACACTACCGCGCCGCCGCTGAGGCGGGAGGTGAGATGAGGTGGACTTGGAGTCGCTGGTACTTGGTGGGAACTGGCTGAATAGCGATGGTGGATGAGCTGGCGCGAAGCATATTGCTGTAATGTGAATTATTTTGAGCAGCAATAGCTTCCAATATAAGCTTTGAGATGAAAATAAGAGTTTACTGTGCTTTCTAACTAAACTGGGATGTTATTTTACTGTGAAATTGCCTGATATTGCATAGTGACTGTGGGCTAGCAATCGCTGAAGAATAACGACAGGCACTCATTTAACCAGGCTACCTGCACCTTCACCTCAGCAAACCTTTACCCGCAAACACCCCGAGTAACACCCGCCGCCCCCACCTCGCCCCCAGGACAAGGGTATTGAGATCTGGGCGCGTCCGATCACACCCGTGGTCGGCGAGTACTATTCATACGCCATTGTGTTCTTCAACCGGCGTGTGGACGGCACTCCGAGTCAGGTGTCGGTCACCATACACGAGCTGGGCATGCTAAACGCCGCTGGATACAGGACAGAGGTGAGGAGAGGGAAGGGAGAGAGAGAGAGAGAGAGAGAGAGAGAGAGAGAGAGAGAGAGAGAGAGAGAGGGGAGAGGGACGGCACTCCGAGTCAGGTGTCGGTCACCATACACGAGCTGGGCATGCTAAACGCCGCTGGATACAGGACAGAGGTGAGGACAGGGAGAGAGAGAGAGAGAGAGAGAGAGAGAGAGAGAGAGAGAGAGAGAGAGACCCCTCTAACATGTCATATCCCCCCCCCCCCCTCTGTAGAACGTGTTTGCCGGGCCGCCGGCCAGTCGCGTGTTGTACCGACCCCCTCTGACGTGCGCTATTCTCCTCTACAGGACGCGTTTGCCGGCCAGTCTTACGGCGTGTTGTACCAACCAACCCCTCTGACGTGCGCTATTCCCCCTTTGTAGGATGTGTTTGCCGGGCCGCCGGCCAGTCGCGTGCTGTACCGACCCCCTCTGACATCATCATATTCCCCCTCTGCAGGACGTGTTTGCCGGCCAGTCGTACGGCGTGCTGTACCCGGCCGACCGTCTGAAGGTGGATGTCAACCCGTCCGGCGTGGTACTGGTGCGCTGCAGCGCGGTACCGGCGCGCGCGTTCGGCCGGCCGCCGCAGCAGCAACTCCAGAGAGGCGGACGGCCCTTCTTCACCACGACTCGCCCCAGGTTCTTCTGAGGTGAGAGGGGGGCGGGATTGGGAGAGATCGGAGAGGGATGGGTGGGATTGGTGTTCGTGTGCGTTGAAGCGGTGATATAACTGATAGCTGTCTTCTGTATTTTTTACTCGTAGTTAACCAGCATGCTCAGTTAAAAACAGTCGTGTACCGAAGAGTTGAAGTTTCTGGCGGATCCCTGACGCACGTTACGTTTCTCGCCCGGTATCTAATGGTTTTGTTATCTGTTCTCAGATTTTCAACGTAAGAAGAGATTATGAGGTGCTAGCGCTCTCCGTGTCGAGGTAATTGAATACATTAGATCGTGGGGTCACTTGCAATGCATTTGAAGAGTAGTGTAGTCCAAAATGCTTCTAAAAAAAAATGCGTAATAAGGTATAGTCGATGTCAATGCCTTCTAATGTAAAGACATTGTTTTGGTCACTTTAATTGATACAATGACATCAATTTTTGTAACGTATATTCATTACCTTCCAAGAGTAGGTATTGGATTCGTCATTGGTGCCCCAGCTAACCCGCGCCTCCTCTCTGTCCGTTTCAGACCTCGGCTACGGTCTCGTCGCCGGGCTGTCCACCAGACGTGGTCTGCCGACCCGCGCTGTCTACCAGTCGTGAGACCGACCCGTGCCTTACAACGGTACCGACCCCCTGGCCTGTGTGTGGCGTTCCCCGGCCCGCCGGACTGAGTCGGCAGAGCGCGCTGGGGACTGATAGTTGGTGCTGCCTCGCGGGGCTTGTCCGGTCTCCCACAGGTTGGAGCTGCAGGCTGCCATGCCGTCATTCATGTGCATCGTCTACTTAATCATTGTTCGATTCTCCATTGCGTGATGTGAGCGGTGCCTTGCACGTATTCAGATAGTGTTGTGACGCGGTGTGAGTGTGAAATGCTACGGATAGTCTTATACGGGAGGGAATATGAATTGATGTGACGCTTTTGTAGGTAATTGAATTCAGATCTGGAGATTACATTGCTCATTCCATTGCTGATAGCACGTGAGCATGCGTTGGTGAACTTTATCACGTGTGTTGAGTGGAATTGTACCAACATTCCGGTATATTTGTCGACTGCTGACCCGTGTGAACTAGCGCTGGACAGGCAGGCTGTTGTGTACTGTGTCGTGGCTTAGCAATACACTAGTGGCTGACACATCCGTGAGGGCTCTGGACGAACGCTATACGTTCAATGATCAGGCAGTTAGCAGAGTGAATTGGTATTTGTACTGTCACAGACGATCTCTATGACATCCACTACAAAGTAAACCCACCACATTGCTATATATGGCTCTGCGCTTCGGCTATAGGGTGTTAAGCCAACATCATTACCGTACGCTGCATATGAAAAAGAATGTATCGTCTTGGAACAATGAACTGTGCTGGGCCGGTCTATACTGCACCTCAACACTGTAAAGTGTAAATTTGCACTCGTAAATTGGGAAGGCCACATCTGTTAAAATATCCGGCAACGTAGGTGGGTAGGAGGCAGGCCTATATGAATGCAGGTCATTGATCGGGCTCGATTACGAACAATTCATGTGAAGTGACGTATGGACTGCTATTCAACGAGCTGCGATCGGGATCACATGGGTTGTAAAGGACTTGAAGAGGAGCGGTTCATCAAGCCAACAGGCTAGCCTCCGGGCTCCCAACGTGTGAGCGTGATGCATTGTGATGTGTCACGATTGGAATGTTACTGCCGCCTACTGCGCTTGACAACGGCGATTGCGCAAGTTTGCGCGCAGTTAGGGACCGCTTACGTGGATGTTTCACTCTTATACGGGTCCTTGGAACATTACTCAGTCTGAGGGTCTTAGTTTACACGTGCAGAAGTGCATTGCCATTACACGGATCTCAGTAGCTGGACAGATGCACTCAAACACAGTAGCACTAACAAACAAACACAGTAACACAGTAGCACACCACACAGGACAGCAGCACTCAAAGCTCGTACTAAGAATTACCTAGGTGACCAGGACAAATCGTCAGGATCTTACTTTTCACGTACATACGCACAAGGTAGCATCTGCATGAGCGCCGAGCGGCGACCTGCGATGCAGCGATGCATTGAGTTTGTTTCTTGTTTTGTTGGGTTAGGCCCTTTCGGTCTGACGAGACCATTTTAGAGCCGGAAGGATGATAGGAATAAGGGGGATAGGAACATTGGTCTGGGCGGGCACCCTATTGAGTGGTGACCTGTCGGGACTGAGCATCACGTGGACAGGTCGCCCAGGCGCCACCCAGTGCAGCCCCTGACGGTCACCGAACCAGGCTACGGGCCTGCTTCGGTGTCGAGCTATCCGCGTGGGATAAACTTGCCGTCCAGCCCGGAACAGGGGGTGGAATGTGGAGGCGTGGGGGAGCGGGATTTGACTACGTCTGATGTCACTATCCTGACTCCTGAGGATGGATATGACGGAACGGAGGAGCGGAGGAGGCGTCACTTTAAAGACGTGTCCTGAACGGAACGTTTTTTTTTGCAAATGTTTTCTGTTTTTTTTTTTTTGTTGAAAAAGCCAAGGGATGAAAAATAAGTGGCCTAAAACTGGCGAGAAAACTATATTTGGGGGTACCCTAGGTTGATTATGGTGTGCCCCCCAGTCTGAAAGAAGTTCCCGCGCCCCTGAAGGGTGGACTACTGCCGTAGTGCTGACGGCGCCCTCTCGAAGGCCCAAGCCCTATCCTCAGTCTTGCCAGGGGTCTTGCTTTGAGGCCGTCCCCCCCCCCAACTGCGGCAGCCAGTGTGTGCGCACGTGCTCGTTCCAGTCAACAGCCATCCAATCAGAGACGACACCTCTCGTTGCTTGGCCCCCTGCGGCCACTAGAGGACGCTCTGTCTGCCCCGTGTCCCATTCAAGGTCACATGCGTGACGGGGGGGCGCGGGGGTTTCTCCAGTTTCCTCAAGTTTCGTTGTGCCCGGCGGGTGTTTGCATTGCGTTAGCGCAACGCAACCGCGTGTGATATGTGTCGGGAAGAGTGTGTGAGTGGTGATTGATTTAATTAATTAGCCAGCGTGTGTTGACGTGGAAGTGAGTGCTCCACACGTGGTTGTGCCGCGACTCGTGAATTGTGATCCGTTGAACGCGCCATCACCGCTCCAGTCGTGTTTTTTTTTTCTGGCTGTGACGCGTGTTCAGCGAGTGCCCAGTGATTCGCCGGCGGAATACCATTGAGTGGACTGGGACGATTTATCATTTCAAATGCGTTGCAATTAGTGAATTGATAAATGAAGGGTCAAGTCGATATGATCGCGGCAAGTCGCGGTGGGAGGTGGGAGGTCAACCGACAACCGGGCTCCAACACAGGTGAGTCCTCAAGATCATGCATGTCCAAGCGATATTGTCCTGAGGCTATTTGCACCGAAAATCCTAGATCTAAAGGTGGAATCGATTTTTTTTTTGTTCCTTCCTGGGCCCTGGCCAACATATGGCATTTTCTCTTGCACCAGCTCGGGCAGCTCTGCATAGCGGCTCGATAAGATGGTAGGTAAGTACATACTTACCTAGTACCTACCCAAATTGTCACGGTCGAGATCAAGGCAGTATATACCGTCGAGATTTTCGAGTGGGCCAGGGTGTATGTACGGTGCAAGAAAATCTAACGAAATCGTTGTCAACCTATAATTCGGTGTAACAGCTGAGCAAGAGGCTTTTGCAACTTACTTGCAACTTGCACTGGCAAGTACCAGGGCTGCACAGTGCACAGTCGATGGATTTTCGGCGGTTCCGACTCCGACTCCGACTTCCAAAAGCCAACTCCGACTCCGACTCCGGGCAGAACTGTTGACTGCGACCAACTCCAGTTCCGACTCCGCAGACCTGGCAGAGCTGCGGCCTGCGGAGTCGATGAATTTTCGGTAACTCCGACTCCGACTCCTGCTCCGGCCTCCGGCTTCCAAAATCAACTCCGATTCTGACTCCGGTCAGAACCGACCGACTCCGAATCTGACTCCGCAGCCCTGCGTAGCTACTGCATATGATGCCACTGGGCACTGGGTCATTTGAGGTCGTCGGAGTTTTTTAGTCGATATCATCATTGTATCACATTGATGATTGAGATAGCGTGCCGGAAACTGGACGAACAAACTCAAAGTGAACTGTGAATCGACCATGCTGTACAGCTCGACCTGTTTGCGCCAAGGTCCAGACCTGACTGGATTTGACCTAACATCCTAACCTTGACTGGAGGTCAACGCTCAGATTGACCTTTCCCCGGTCCAAAGCCTATATCGTGACGGGGTTGGGTGCGAAAAACGCGACGGTGTTCAATGCCTTTGCTCTGCGATTATTTTCGTCAGGAGTTCGCAAAAACGTCTTTTGGGCGCTTGACCTGATTGGCCCAGAGATCACCGGTTGACCGCACACATTCACGGTATTACGAGATGGTCAATAGTTTTGCATAAAGGATCTCTCAAAAATCATTGACGCCGTCCAAATCACGTCACGGTTGTGCCTTCAACTTAAGTGCGTCATTTGTATTAGCACTGTTTCCCAGCGTTCACTCCTGCTGCCGCCCCTTCCCTATCCCGATGTCATGCCATCAATGATTCTGCCACCTATCATAATGAAGCGATGTTGATGGTTTGACTTTATTGAAAGTCCACATCATTAAGTGCATGCCATTTTTTTCAATCCATTTCACAAAGTATCGCAGCGAAAGTTTCAGTTGCACGAATACCATCACGGTATTCGTTAAAAATGTGGTGCGGTCACAAGAAGTGTGTGCATTACTGGGTGCCGTCCAGTTCACCACTGTTCTGCTCTGGGCTGTGTGCGATGTCGCCGTCGAAGCCCTGCAGGGTTCCCATCTGCATCAGGATGATGATGTACGTCAGGACGAAGCTCAGTATCTGTAAAACATAGCGCCACGTTACCTAATTGTACGGTCATATTCGTTGTTTCGGCTCTGATAGTCTGATTGCCATGATTTAGTTTTTTTTTTTACCAAACGGACTTTTTATCTTTCGCTGCTCAATGGTTTGCTAAGATAACAAATGAGTCAAACTGTTAGCATTGTCACTGAGCCCACCATTATCTTCAGAGTGCTGAGTGCAGACTTTATGATATAATGCAAATTGTAAGATTTATTTGATGCTTTGGATGCCAGATAACATTCACATCACATATTGCTACTCACCGAAAGAACATTGGACTTTTGCAATGCGAAGAACCCGATGACATCCACGCAGAACGGGCGTTTGGTTTTCTGCAGCAGGGATTTGCGCTGTCGGTTCGCTCCTTTGCTCAGCTTCGATCCGCCCACATCGACGAGTGCGTCTGTTAGGGCTGAATTCTACGGATGAAGGGAGTCAGTCATGGGATGACATTCATCGGAAAAACATAGAAGCAAACGTCGAACGGTAAAAGAGCTCAACCGGCATAATTTGCAACCTCATTAAACCGTAAACTTATTTATTTCTAACGACGCTTAACACACACTATGCAAGGCCTTAAGAGCGCCAGTGGAGACAACCGGTGTCAACATTGCCGTCGCATTACCATATGAAGCGACCAGAGTGACTTACCCGATCCATGACGCCAAACCCGTGACTTACCCGTTCCATGATGCCCGAACCGTCCACCGAAAGCAGTATGGCGCGGATCAGGAAGAGGCTGACGTACACAATGACAGCGACCGCCTGAACCATTACCAGCTGATTGCAGCGCACCGACAGACTGAATATTAGCTGTCGGCAGATACAGGCAAAGTATCGGTCAATACAGTCAGATCAGTGACAGGTCAGCCGCCGTGCCGGTTACTGCGCGAACGGCGATCATTAGAATAGGGAGAATACGAACAAAGGCTGGCTGTTGAATGTGACAATGATCTTCGCGTATCATGATGGTCCGCTCAGTAACCTAGAACCACAGACAAATACATAATATACGCCTATTTTGGCTAAAGTAATCGCTTCACTATTTCCAGTGAGTAATTGATGAGGTGTTGAAAAAGACAAAGTAAGCTGCTGTCATGGTCCGATCAAGCAGGCATCTATGCGATATGCCTTTGATCTGTTCTTACACCAATCACGTAGTAAGCCGCGAACAGGATCGCCGATACGGCAGCGGCGTGCGCCATGAACAGCGACGTCCCACAGACCTCGTTCACGGACTCCAGAAAACTGCCAAAAGAAACACGATCGACGCGATAGCAGTCACTGTGTGCTAATCCCGCCAAAGATAAAGGACCAAGAAGAGTTCTCAAGAAAAGCTGAAATGTTTCGTGAAATGAATTAAGTAAGCGGTAATGTTTTACGAGGCGAAAGTATGGACACAAAATCCTGAATTTCATTCTCGCGGCCACTCACCTGCGAACGTCTGAGTAGTACAGGGTGGCGAGCTCCAGTGTCCTCTCCACCGAGTCCGTGGTCGGCTCCGCCGGGCCCTCCTCCCTGCCGTCCGGCCAGTCCCGCGGCACCTGCGCGCTCTTCGTCTTCAGGTTTTCGGAGACCTCTATACGCACCAGCCCGTCACCGTCGCCCGCCGGCCGGCGCAGACCGTTCTGTTCCTGCTGCGAGCGTCTCCGCTCCGTCGGCAGGGCCCACCTCCCGTCGACGCCGACGCGCCTCTCGGCTGGTCCTGTGGTGGGTGTCGGTTTGGTGCCGTCGGCGGCGACGGCGCGACGCCGGCGATCGGCCGGGGCGCCGCTCACCAGCTCTGTGATGGCGCACAGGTGGAAGCTGATGGCGTCCATCCAGATGTAGCAGCACGAGTCGAACGTCACCGCCAGGCAGCAGGAGAAAAATATCAACACCATCTGCCGACGAATGAAATGCATACCTACATTATGAATGCTTCCTTCGTAATGCCTAAAAGAATAAAATTGTAGACATTCTGGGCGCCATTCCATTTGATGCGATAAAGTGGAATGCGACTGTAATGTTGAAATTATTGGTCAAAGGACTGACTTGTCAGATTAGATTACTTTATCTACAAACTTCACAGCCTCTCGAACTTCCTACTCGCTAGAACACACCAAAATACAAAAGGAAAAGGAAACTAACAAATCAATAATTAAACAAACGATTTTGATTGACTCGGTGAAGTCGATGCTGAGCAAGAGAGGCGACATGAGAGCAAGGGAGTTTATTGATATAGATGCCCCGTCACTCGACACATTTTCAGTTGTTGTTAGATTGCGTCAATATATAGTCCGTTTTTGCTATATGGTTGATGATTCTACGGAGGCCCAATCTTGTCAATATTTTTTTTTTTCGTTTGAGGTACTTCTTTCATAAAGTGTGTTAGCTTTAAGCATTATCCGTATTTTCCTTATCAAGCGCCTTTGGGGTTTCCAGACAAAATAATGACCATTATCCATCGTCAATATGGCTTGAACGCCGAGTTTTCAATAAGAAAACGAAATGTCAAACTGAGTGCAAACGGCCAAGCGCCTCGCACCACTACCCATACACTACACAAGTCCAACTATTGCAACCTATCACTTCTCTTCAATTCCGATTCCATTTATAACCGCGATAAACATCCTTCAGCAATTTACAAAATAATAGTCGCCATCGTGCCGAACGCACTGGCATTCAGGTCTGTTGGTATTACAACAATGGCTGCGCCTCTTGGCCAATGTTTACCCAGCCCGTCCTGGGGTGACACGCTTCTGGGCTAGGTGATGGCCTGCAAACATGGTCAACATGGGTTCCGCTGCCCATCGCCGTCACAAACGCACAGGCTGGATGGCTACTAATTGCGTCTCTTTCCGTTTGTTTGGTGTGAGGTGACTCGAAAATGAGGTGTAGATGTGAAGGTGTTGTGACCTATTTGCTGTCGTATAGTTCGATCTATAATGCATGCGTGAGGAAATACGCAAACAGCTACATGCACTGCTTCACTATAGGGTCAGTTCAGAAAGCTCGCAATAGAGGCAACGCCTCCAACTCTCATGTAAAGCTGATCACAGTTTTAGCCGTAATTAGGCAGGTTGAGACAGTAGGTAAATGCAGCAAAGACCTTTTGTGAATTTTTACTCTACATTGAATCATCATATAATCGTAAATCGTTTGACATTAATTTGTTATAAAGTTAATTGTAGCTAATGAAGTTGATTTACCTATCTAATTTTAACTTTTTAACGATTTATCAGCGAACGATTTGTAATTGACCATTTATGACGTCTCGAGGGTAACGATGTACGAAAGGCTGCTGCATTTATTTCATCAACAGTTTTTTGTCACGCAGGCCTACCAATTGATTTTGAAAAAAGTTTAACTGGTGTGTCATCGAACCCGATACTTACCGTCCAATAATTATGAAAACTCGTGGTTGGCCTTCATAAATGATAAAGCCCGTGAAGTTACTCCGACTTGAGAATAGTCTACTTTAGATAGGTGCGTTTATAACCGTATGTTCATTGTGCAAGTGAGGTGAGCCTGTGTGACTGTAAGGTCGTTGTGCAGGTAAGGAGTGTCTGTGGGTCATTGTGCACTTCTGCAGGTAAGGAGATTCATTGTGACGGTCCGCACCTGGTAGGCGATGACGATCCAGTAGGCGGGCGGCCGGTGGAGCAGCTCCGGCACGAACATGCTGACCATGTAGTACGGGTGGTGGAAGCGCGCCGGCACCAGCAGGAAGCAGTACCAGAGCGCCAGCGCGCCGGCCGCCAGCAGCCAGACGAGCAGCAGGCGCACGTGCAGCCGGCGCCGCCAGCCGGGACGGGGCCGGCCGGCGCGCCGCTCCAGCCGCGTCAGAGCCGACTCCAGACGCAGCAGGCTAATGGCACAAAGACATAGAGTAGTGAGAACCCGGAGGTAGCAAGTTTACACTGCCTACGTATCCTGCGTGCTTATGCGTATTCTACAGCAGACGCATATGTGTGACCTGGAACAACTACTGGCAAGTTGTGTAGGCACTGTGTGGCGCAAGCTCTGAAAATAATCCAGCCAGAACCGGTGCCCGTTTTCGGAGCACGCCTCCTCACCTTTTACGGCGGCGGACGAACACGGCCAGCACGGTGACGGACTGGACGAGGAAGCCGTACTGGGCCCCTGCCTCCAGCAGCCGCCGCACGCCGTCCGCCTGTATCGGGAACAGGAGCATCCCGGCGGCGGCCAGGGCGAACACGGCCACCGGCAGGGCAGCCAACAGACAGTGGTGGCGCGGCAGCGTGCGCCACTGCACGCCGCTGAACGTCAGCCAGCCGCCCACGGCCAGCGTGGCCACCGTCAGCCGGCCGTGCTCCGGATCGCGACCGTCCTTCTGTGGGTGACCGGTCGACGTGCCCATGGCGGTCCCCAGAGCTGACCGTACCGCGAACCTGGCCAGGATGGCCCCTAGAGATGGAATGAACGGGGGAGGACGTCAGAGCCCTAATTTAATGTGCACTGGCCACTGGCCAGAGCTTGCTTTGTTGTGGTAGAAGACACTGTTCTTGTGGCGTCATGTTTGTTGCAAGGGCAATGGGACTACACTAGAGACAGTAGCGGCGTAACACCTTCAATTAACCCTAGAACGCCTAGGGGGGGGGGGGTTGTATCAACCCCCCCCCCCCCCTGAGGTTTTTTCGAAGTGCACGCTAAACGGCTTGTCGTAGCGGGCTGAAATTTTCAATACCCTCTGGAGCAACCTTTGCGCATCTTTTGCCGAAAAAAATTGATCGGGTCATGTCAGGTCACGGAGTTATGACGTCATAAGAGGTACAGCCTCCGGCCGACAGTTACCAAACGTGTGCGCCGAATCCCTAGGTTTTCTGCCGGTGATACCCACATTGTTTGATGGATCATGATGAAACTTCCCATGCATGTTGGGGCAAGCATTGGCTATCGTGTGGTGCAAGAAAATTGACCGGGTCAGGTCAGGTCACGGAGTTATGACGTCATAAGAGGAACAGCGTCCGGTACTATTTTTGAAAAGCGCCCGAACCACTATTTTGCTAATTCTTGTCACCTCAATGGGAATATGCAGCAATATTAGCTTCTATAAGGAGAAAATGGACCTTCCAAATCCAAAAATACAATCAGATTTCAAAAATTTAAATTTTGATTTTTCGAATTTCTGCCGCCGACTGTGACCTTGCCGACTTCCGGCGCTCCCAACGCGCCATTTTTAGAGCTAGGGAAACGAAATACATACCAAACGATAGAGAATTGATCAAGGAACAGGATAGTGAAGGTTTCAAGTCGATATCTCCCACCGTTTTGCCGCAATCGCCGCGGAAAGTTGAAAAAAGTCTATTTTTCCGAAAATTTGACCTTTGACCGGTCAAAAGTAGGTCAAATGTTGACCTAGGACCAAAAAATATACCACCAATCGCGAGATCTCGTTGAGAGCAATCCGTTGGTTTTTTCCGCTAAGCTCTACGACCTTCCGTTTCGAAACGCCAGGGGGGGGGGTCGTAACAACCCCCCCCCCCCCTGGTCGTTCGTGTTATGAGAAATGGCCTGGTCGTGCGAGGGTTAAAGGGACCCTCCCACCTTAACATTAGATTTGAGTTGAGATAGCCAAATTGGTGGCCATGGCCTGAAAATACCGGTTTGGGCACTCACAACATTGAAAAATGCTTTAATTCGGAGATATCGAATTTCAAACTTGCAGTTTTCTGATTCCAAGGGGCTAATGCATTGGTACGCCCCCTTAGAATTTGTGACGTCAGCGGAGATGTAACGATTTTAAATCTTTTACTAAAACGTTTGGTAGCACGCGGTGGTATATGCTGCTTTGCGCGCAACAAATGCCGCACTTTCAAATAAAGTCGCTAGGAACAGCAGAGATCCCAAAAAGTAAACAAAAGTAAAAGTCTAATATCTTGAAAACCGGTGAATATTTTTTGATGAAATTTGGTAGATATTCGTTTTTGCTCTTTCTGAACCGAGCAACATCACTTTCATGCCAATTCATTAACTTTTTTGAAGGTGGGAGGGTCCCTTTAAGGGGGGGGGGGGGGGCACTGCCGACTTTTGGTCCCATTCTTTCCATGCAACGCCCATAGGGCTAATGTTAAAATGCCAAAATCAAAGGGGGGACGGTGCCCGGTGCCCTCCCCGTTCCGCCGCATATGACACTATAGATCTGGACTCCGGAGACATTGCCTTTTCTAACTATGATTTGGTCAATGCAAAAAAAGACACCCAGGTACCCTTTTTCCCCACCCACCCGCATTTTGGCCACCCAAATGGGTGCCTGCCATCAGAGGAAGTTGCCTTCCAACGACCGACATCGACGCTTGTACTTTGGCACAACGACTGAGCGATGGCTACGATTGGACAACTAATAGCCGTTTTCACGACTGCTATGCATGGTGCACAGTTAAGATAATTTTGGACTACCTAAAACACTGAAATAAATTCATGATATGAAGATGGTTGTTGCGGTGCAGATTTAGTCAAATTTGGTGCATTTGCCAGATAACCCGTTTGCGGCTAATAGCGTTTTCACGACGGGCTATCTGGCGAATGCATCTAATTTGACCAAATCTGCACAAAAATATTTTACAAAAAGATCTTCATATCAAAAATTTATTTCACTGTTTATCAAAAATAATGTCTGATAATCTGAAAAATGAGATATGTGTAACCATCTGTGCAGCTCAAACTGATAACTTTTGAGAAACACACTGAACCTAATTTGAACAAATCTGCACATAATGGCGCACGAAACGTGTACCAGATAGCCGTCGTAAAACGGATATGCACCTAAATATATTTGGCAATAGGTTGTCACGAATTATTCGAGTACTAACCTTTCGTTTTGAAGGCTATACGTATGTTAGTTTCACTCATTGAAAGACTCGGTTGCCGTATAGCTTTTACATGTGAGTGCAGCGAAAGTGAAAGTGTTTCCCCGAATTATTGTTCAAGTTCCAACTTTTCTTCTCTCTCACAAAAAGTGAATTTTTAACCTGAGTTTCTATAGAAAAATAAATAGCACGGATGCGAATCTGGCCGAGGCGCCGCGCCGTGCGCCCGCTGAGCCGACTGCGCGTGCACTGGCTCCGGTCATCCACACCCAACCGCTCGTGCACTGGCACTGGCCGTCCTGCGCCCGGGCCGCCTCTGTCCCTCCGCGGCCGCCTCATCGATCCACCCGAGACGGACGCACCCAGACTCAATAGCCGCTCACCACAGAAATTATCGGGTTATTGTCATCGTCATCGTCATCACCGCTCATGAACCGACCAAGTTACCAGCGAAACGGTAACTTTTTTACCCGATCGTTGCCGAGATCTTCAATTCAATATACAGGACGTAGCGCCAACAAAGACCCTTGCCTGCTCCAAAATGAATTGATGCAACAACTATTTCATGCTGCAACATAAGAACTCTGTAAAAGTGGATTTTTCTGAGCATAGGCGGATCCAATAATGCTGCTCTTATAAGACGATACATAAACAAAACAAAAACAAGACGTTTCTTCAAAGGATATAGGATCAGATTTGTTTCCTTTCACGCTCCTGTTACCTGTGTAATTAAAAACAAACTTTTCCTCATGCAATGTCATAGACCTCTGTACACCGGTGTACAGAGGTCTATGGCAATGTGTACCCAAGGATTTGTTTCCATTCAAGGGAAAAATCAAAATTTCACTAAAAATGTATGCAATAATGCACAAAAGCCGGTTTTATGAACAGTTCTTGCCAAATCAGAATCACTCAAACATGTACGTACCTAACTCTTTTATTCAAGGATATCCCGATTAGAGTTTTTATGTACTAAGCTTCTGCTGTTGGAATTCCGCATTTAGGTTGGTTGCTTTCTAGCTATGTTATGCAGAAATTTCGCTTTTTATTTGAACTATCAACTAACTAACCACCTTCAGCGTATTCATAATTCAGCCATTACCCTGCACCGTTAGCCCCCCCCCCCCTTCCGCAAACAGCTGAAGAGATTTTCTCAAGCCAAGCTCCCAACCAGCGTGCTGTGCTTCTGTTCCTACATTATGTCACGAATGACGTTCAAAACTAAATCCGACCTCTGAAATGACTGACTCTGTCCCGCTCCGTCCCACCTCCAAAATGACCTCTGACCTCTGAAAGGACTGAGACCCGGTCCCGATCCGTCCCACAAGACGGTGGACACTGCCTCTGACTTCTGCCTCCGTGTGCGCTGGAGCAAGTGTTTTCACATTCCTCGCTAGTTCTTAGCGTTCTCCAGTCACTGGCATTAAAAAAAAATAAATTTAGCTCGAATGTTTGAATGGACGGATTGACAGAGCCGCAGCTTACGCTAAGCAGAGCTTGTTGCGTAGACCCCGACCCCTATCGTCCGATCGCGCAATTCCGGGTAACGGGAGGATTTAGATGCCAAAGTTTAACGTGCCCTTCAAAGCCGGACATGGGCTGTCCCACTCCATTGACTTCAACTGGCTGCGGTGGCTCCCACCAACCGCAGACCATCCCCGTCAGGAGTCTCAAATATCGAGCGCCGGAGCGACTCGAACCCGGGCACTCTATACCGGGAGTCCAGCGCTCTACCAACTGATCTACGGGACATTTTCGGTATTCACCTGAAAACCGCCGTGACTCGATGACCTCCTGGCCCGAAAGCGGGTCCTAAGCAGCCTCGCAGATTTCGCGACATCTATAACACAGCGTACAGCGCTCTCCAGCGGTGGTTTGCTGCACCACGGCAGCCGTGGCGCGGCGAGGCAGACCAACCTATCAGGCATATGTTATGTCGATGGGGAATTATTGACAGGCATTTTTCATTGGTATGCGTGCAGTTAATATTTGATGTATTTACAACATTAAAATGGATCCCACTTTACACAAAAATTCACCTGACGCATAAATCTGAACAATTGGCAGCATAATCTGATATTGCACAGCATTGCATTCAGCAGCCGGACATCTGTCGGTATGGCAGCAGCGTCACCTACCGGACTTCGCCTATGCACACAAACACATGCCAAGGCAAGTACTCACAGAGCTGCAATCCTCATGCATTCACAGCACACCCGAGCTCTCCATCCTCCGGGTCAAGCCATCCTCATTCTGGATCACACACCTGTTTCGAGCTATTGTTTACCTATTACCCTACTATAGACAACCTCTTGAGAGCGGCCCCGGCACGCCCTTTGACCGTCTGTTTGACCTCTCCAGCCAACTGTAGGTATTCGTGCCTTTGATTCCATAATATATATGTAGTAATTGAACTCCTAAGAATCTCATCGAATTTTCTTCAGTCACATTTTACGCCTAACTAGCTTGAAACAAAAGGAAAAATATAATAATGTGGAACGGTATCCGCCATAAATGTATTTGAAAGAAGAAAGGCTAAGAGATACCTAAA